GAGTTCCCATGAAAAATTTGCTGCTAATGACAGTAAGACCCAAATTGTGTTGAGCTTCGCTACTGGAGCAAAGGTTTTTTTGTAGTTAATCCCTTCTTTTTGAGTAAACCCCTTTGCCACAAGTCGGGCCTTGTACCTTTCAATGGACCCATCCTCCCTATGCTTTACAGTGAACACCCACTTGCACCCGACAGTGCTCTTCCCTTCKGGMAGATCCACTAATTCCCAAGTCCTTGCTTTCATTAAAGCTTTCATCTCTTCATTCATAGCTTCTTTCCACCTTGGGTCAGACATAGCCTTTGAGTACCTAAAAGGAACATGTACAAAGGAAAGAGCAGACACAAAGGAGTGATAGGATGGAGATAAACGTGAGTAAGAAACAAAATCAGCAATGGGGTTTCGAGTAGTACAAGAACGGATAGACTTACGAAGAGCAATAAGAATATCCAAATCAGAAGTATGTGTGTTGGGATTACCTTGGATTGCGGAGACAGATTGATCCAAGTCCAACTGGTTGCTGTCATGAGTTTGAGGGCCCTTTTTTCTTCTGTTGTAGGTGATTCTTATATCTTTTTGTTGCGTACTAGAGCCCTCAGGAACATCTGCAGTATTAGGAAAGGTAACAGGCACAGTGGGAGCCTTACTAGGTTCACCCGGGATGCCACAACTAGGAGGAGTAGAAGGAGAGGATGGAAGGCCCGAGGCAGATAGGGGAACAAAAAAGAAGGGAGAATAAGAATCCTCTTCCAACCCACTAGTCTCCCCCTGAAGAGGATTTTGGAAAGACTGAAAGTAGGGTTGAGACTCAAAAAAAGACCACATCTTCGGTGACATACTTTCTCTTGGTGACAAGATCATAACACTTGTAACCCTTTTGTGTAGGAGAGTACCCCAAAAAAATTCCTTTCGTAGCCCTAGGATCCARCTTGGTCTTCTTTGGATCCTTTACATGTATAAAACATACACAACCAAAGACCCTAGGAGGAAGAGGAAAGTCTGGAAGGGTAGGACACAGAACAGAGAAAGGGATGCAGTAAGTAGTGCTTGAGATCAGTAGTGCTTGGGGACCTTGTGTTGGAATAGTAAGGCTCGAGCTGTCTCCAATAGATGTCTATTCTTACGCTCAGCAACCCCATTCTGTTGAGGGGTATTAGCACAAGATGATTGATGTAGCATGTCAGCATCTTCCATGAACAAGTTCAAGGATTTTTCAAAATATTCAGCAGCATTATCTGACCGGAATTGCTTAATCTTCTTGTCAAATTGTTTCAATCATTTTGCAAAATGCCATGGTTATCCGTGGCACTTCATCTCGTCCTTTTAACAGGTAGATCCATGTGCATCGAGAGTAGTGGTCAATAAAACTGATAAAGTAACRAAAGCCAYCAATAGAAACAWTAGGTGAAGGGCCCCAAACATCAGAATGAACCAAATCAAAAGGAGCTTGAATTTCATTACTAGAAACTGGATAAACAGTTCTACATTGTTTGGACAGTTGACATACTTCACAGACTAAACTCTGACTTGAAATGCCCTTAAACAAGAAGCCACTGTTGGTATACTCTGTGAGTTATCACCATTGTTACTAGTGACAATGGTTCCCACTTGCCGCTTGACCCTTCTGTCCCTTCTTGTCTTTTCTCAATGCAGCTGGCTTCAGGTGAGGATACAGGACCCAACACTTTTCTTTTACATGTCTTTCACCTCCACAATGAGTGCACTTAAGATGC